CGACAACGCGACGGCGGCGGTGGCGGCCGCGACGAGCGTCGAGGTTGCCACCGGCTGCAGGGCGGCCGCCGGCGGCAGGATCACGCTCAGTGTCGCGCATCTCATCGGTGATCACGTCGCGGACGATGGCGATCGGCGTACGTGTATTAATCCCCATCTTTCACCGCGATAACGCCGCTTTGAGTGCCGATTTAATCGATCTGGAATCGATTATCCGGGATTAGATCGATTGATGCAGTGCGTACGAGATCATGTAGATCATGATGCTGGGCGTAGAAGCGTGCTGGATCGAAAGGAGATTTGCTGTGCGAGTCAGGTCGATTCGTATGTGTCTGTGCCTGAGTTTGTTAGTGATTGATATATCACCCGATGGAGTATATCGATCTCCGATTCATTGAGAAGAAATTCATAGTGGACGTTGTAATTATATTTCATGTGCGTTTCACGAGTAACTGCCGCAGATTGCGGCATAGTTACTTGAACTTACATAATTTGTGCTTGATATGTGGAATAAAGGAGAATTAATCGTGAACGCTTGAGATGTCGATATTTTTTTCTTTTTTTAATTAATTTCACTTTTTATGTTAGCGCATTGTTATAATGGAGATTACGTTTCAAGATTTGTGGATCTTTGTTAGAATCGTGCAATTCACTTACGAATCGACCTAATCGTCGGACCTAATCTTCATTGCGGTCTTAATACTTCGTGAATAGGATGGTTCCATGCGACAAGTAAATACAAGAGAAACCTTGTTTAGATGAAGCGGCACAAGAGACCACGGCCGGCATCGTCGAGACGAGCGGAAGCGTCGAGGAGCCGCCGTCGCCGGAAGGTCGGCTGCAACCGGAGGATCTCTCCGTCACGGCCAAGATCAAGGACATCCGAGACACCGCGGAGAGTCTGCCACCCCTGAAGACGCCCGAGCTGAAGCTGTCGGTCCGCAAACTGCTCGGATGCACCCCCTCGCCGCCGCCCATATCGAGGGATCGATCATCCAGTCCGGAAAACTGCGTTGAACTAAAAAGTCAAAGCTCGAATGACAAGGCGATTGTGTCCTCCAATGATCAGGCCAAAGTGTCCTCGCAGGTTACAAGGTCGAGTGGACTGAATCAAGAGGACTCCGCCAAGGGTGAGTACAACAGAAAGAATAATAACTCTATAATTGTGTGCGTTATATTATAAAATAAATAATTGCAATAATTGCATTTTTTTTAAAGATAGATTTAAAGATAGAGTTCTTGCTGCTGTTGTTTTAATAATCTTGACTTAAAGTGACTTAAAAAAATAACTTAAAGTCATTTACTGAAAATCATAATTGTTCACTGGTTACTTCATCAAGTTACAAAAATAGGAATTAAAATTGTTAAATAAATTGCAAAAAATGACTCATCTTGCACAATTCAAGTTAAGTAAGATAAAAAATTAAATTAAAAGCTGAATTTTAAAAAATGATGTTTCGATAAAGCAAATTATTCAAAATCCTAAGTTTTTCAAAATTTTATTCCTTCGCAGATTAAAAGGGAGGTTTGTTTTAAGTTACAATGTTTTGCAATTTCCACTTTTTTTACACTTATTTGAAAGATTTTATTCTTATTTGAATTTCATTGCTTTACAATTAACAAAATTAAGACAATGCGTAAGGAAAATATTTAAAATTGCTAAATAAAAATTCAGATTATTCAACCCATGATACAATTTATTATGAATGCAAGTTTACATTCGCATAACATTTTATCACAAGAGAGATATGAGGAATACAGACATTTATCTAGATCGCATTCAGAATTGGTTTTAATCAAATTTAAACCCCAGAATTCTAAAGTTACGTCCCGTTTTATGCCTGCCCTGACCCAACGTGCGATGGTGTCGACTTTGATTTCGACGGATGGACCGATGTTCTTTATGACTAGCCCGTTTGCGATTGCCGTGCGAACGAGTGCAGGAAGGTCAGGAACCTCCTGGTGGCGGCTCCGAAGTCCCAGCACCGGAGGGATTCGATCTTCGTTTATAATTCAGGCCGTCGTCCAATAAAGCTCACAAGTGATTGGGAATAGCTGACCGTTCGCAATCTAACGATCGGCGACCCGATCGGCGATTTCGCTCACGAGCCAAGTCATCTTCGATAAAACGCTCGCTCCGCCGGGCACTGAAAGATGAAATTACGTCGATTCCTTTCATTCTCCTGTGGAACGGAAAGCACCTGTAACAAAAGTGAGCCACTCTCGCAAGAAATGGGATTCGCGAGGATTATTTCTGGATTAGTTGTTTATACGACGGAAAGAAATTTTGTTATAATACGTAAAAAAATTTAAACAGATTCAGGTCTAAAAATAATTTTATCGGGCCATTAAAATAATTATATAGGTCGTTCAAAATAGTTGCCAGAATATTAAAAATTTTTATAGTATTATCATTATGCTTAAATGTTCTATATAATTATTTTGCTGGTCCAACAAAATTATTTTGATCCGACCGACAAATGTTTAAATACTTCAACAAAATCATTCTTTTGCGTATATCTCGAATAAGGAAACATTCGTCCGATGACAAATTATTAGTTAGCAATCACTTACTCTAACATCGCTTTTAGTCTAAACGTTTCCGGAACACTGGTCCACACTGGTGCACGGTGCGCGATATGAGACTATCGTGGTGGTGAAAGCGGGTGAAAGAGACAGAGGATGAGAGAGAATCAAATCGGCGGGGATTGCGTTTTATAAAAAGCGCGTGCGGCGTTGAAGTAACGCCACGCACGTTTCCCCGCGCGATAACTCGGCGAGCCGAGCGGGCAGAGCACGGCGCCATGAATTTATGGTTTAATATGCGGCCCGCCGCGTTAGTTGTGTGTACGCCCCCTAAACGGGGGTAGCGGCGAGGAGGCTGCAAGCACCGGCAGCTCGCCTATCTCTCGAGGGCCCATAACTTTTTCCGATTAAACGCAAATCAAAAAGCAATCTACCCGGCCGGCAGCCATCGCAGCCGCGAAAGTAAAACCGTAAATATTCGCCCAGGAGCCCCCGACTGGGGAGGGGGGGGGGGGACATTCGGCGTACCGAAAAGGGCGTGAAGCGATAAATATTAATGCATCTTGCAGGCGCTGATCGCCTCCATACGATCCTCTTACGTTATATTAATTACATCGTAATGTACGTCGTGTAGCGATCTTTT